TCGAGGGAGTTCTTGCTCGGGGGGTGCTCGTTCTGGGGGTGGTGATGTAGAGTGTTCCGGTGGTAGCCGTGGTGCCGCTGGCGGTCCGGGGGTCGGTGTCGCGCAGCAGCAGCAGCAGCCAAGGTCGCCGCCGGTCTCCGCCCTTCGCCTGCTCGGCCTTCCCTCCCCTGACCGCTCGACTGCGTCTCCCCCGCCCCCTCCTCCTCTTCCTGTCCACGGCCATGCGTTCCCTCCGCCGGACTCGTCTCTGGCTCGTCTTCCTCCTCATTCCCCTCTTGTGTCTCCTCCCCTGTCTCCTGACCCTACACCTCCGTCTCACGTCTGGACTCGCCGTCCCTCGCGTGCTTGTCCTGTCTCTCCTGTCTTGTGCTCTCACCCTATGTTGCTCCGTTCCCATGCGTCTCGTCCTCCCCTCCTCCCATCACCTCCTCCATCGTCCCTTGTTGTTGCCCCTCCCCTGCTGTCTGACTACCTTCGTGCCGCTCATCCCCTTGTTCCTCGGGTTCTTGCCTCTCTGGTTACCGACCCGTCTGTTCCTGTCTCCAGCCTTGACGCTCTTGTCGCTGCTGTCCCTGACTTCGCCTCTACCCACTGCCTTGACTATGCCACCGCTCTAGTCTCTGACCATGCTCGTCCTCCGTCCGTCGGGGTTGCTCCTGCCCTGTCTGAGGCCACTCCCCATCTCTGTTCCATGCCCCTAGTCCTTGAGGGTGACCTAGACGCCTTTAACATCCCGACCCCTCGCACCTACGTTTAGGTGACCTTGGGACCCTGGGCCTCTCAGTGAATAGTTGCCATGGAGCAGGAGATGGCATCTTGGAGATCCACTGAAACTTACGTCGACACAATTCCCCGCCTGGGGTGAACGCAGTCGATGGTCGTTGGCTCTTCAAGGTGAAGCGCCCCCCTGGAGAGCCGCTTGTCTTCCACGTGCGTTACGTGGCTAGAGACCTCATTCAGCGTCAGGGGGTGGACTTCTTCCAGACCTTTACCCCGACCCCGAAGATGACTACTCTTCGGGTGCTGCTACACGTAGCAGCACAGCGTGACTACGAGCTCCACTCCCTCGACTTCTCTACTGCGTTTCTTCAGGGCAGCCTACACGAGCAGGTCTACCTGCGCCGTCCATAGGGATTCACTGGTACCTTCCCTCCTAGGACCCAGTGGCTTCTCAGGCTCCTGGTCTACAGCCTTCACTAGGCTCCCCGTGAGTGGCACGACACGCTGCGTGTCACGCTAGCTGACCTGCAGTTCTTTCCGTCCTCTGCAGACCCCTCGCTCTTCGTTCGTGCTGGCCAGACTCTGTTCTGCATCCTAGTCTACGTCGATGACTTGGTCTTCACTACTGCAGACAGAAACGCACTGGCCTCTATGAAGGTAGAACTGTTGAAGAGACACACCTACACTGACCTAGGAGAACTGCGTTGCTACCTTGGCCTGCAGATCTCCAGGGACAGAGCAGCGCGCACCATCACTCTCACACAGTCACACTTGGTGCGTGCGGTTCTTCAGAGGTTCGGCCTTCTGTTCTCCTCTGCACAGCCCACGCCTCTACCTTTAGACCACAGACTCTCATCTCCAGTTCCTGAGGAGCCAGTGGAGCCCAGTTGCCCTTATGCAGAGTTGGTGGATTGCCTCATGTACCTGATGACTTGCACTCATCCAGATCTCGCATACCCTCTCAGCATCCTGGCTCGCTTTGTGGCCACTGGCAGACACCAATCACAACACTGGTTGGCCGCTAGGAGGGTTCTGCAATATCTAGCAAGTACATCGGGCATGGGGCTAGTGCTTGGAGGACGCAGGCCAGTGGTCCTTACTGGGCACACAGACGCTTCTTGGGCAGACGACGCTGAGACCCTCAGGTCGTCCCAGGGCTACTATTTTAGCCTGAGTTCGAGTGCTATTTCATGGAGGTGTACTCGCTTGTCGGCTGTTGCCCGGTCTAGCTGTGAGGCTGAGATCTACGCTGGTGCCATGGCGGCATGGGAGCTCCGTTGGCTGACCTTCTTGCTCACAGACCTATGTGAGCGGCCTAGCTCTGCCCCGGTCCCGTACGGTGACAACAGGGCCATGATTCTCCTGTGTCACGAGGCTCAACTTGAGGGCAGAGCAAAGCACATCCAGCCGTGGTACTTCCTCATGCGCGAGCTACAGTAGCAACGACAGCCCCACGTAGTTCACTTAACCTCCAGTGCCAAAACAACTGATATCTTTATGAAGGCGCTTGCGCCTAAAGATCATTAGCGGCACTGTGTTCAGCTTGTTCTTGTGCCTGTAGCTCCTCATCCGCTAGGCCCCTGAGTGTATACGCCCTTGTATATATATACATGCCTGACTGGCCTTGTGGCTTTACCTCCAGTGGCTGGACTAGTAGTGCCGCCCTTGTTTGCTCTTGTCTTGTTTGTACTCTTGCTGACTGGTCTTCGGACCCCTGCCTCAGAGGTTGGACTAGTAGTGCCGCCCTGAGTTGTGTGTTCCTCGCTGTGCACTGCCCCTATCTAGCCTAGGGGGTGTGTCAACTTATACATATGCTTATATGTAGAAGTTATAGGCTAGCTGGTGTTGTGCTCTTAGAGAGTACATCACAACTCATATATATCATGTACGCTCATGTTTCTAATTCATTCAATCATCTTAACATAGGATTGCTTTAATGTTTCTATATCTTTCTTGGTCATTCCATAGTACCACATTTTGTTATTCTAAATCTCGATATTCAATCTAGATGTTACCCTTAACACTTATAACATCTGGTATTCACAGCTTCTTTCCTGACCTACCCGCTTCCGTAGGCGGGAAACTTTTTTTTTTTTTTTTTTTTTTTTTTTTTTTTTTTTTTTTTTTTTTCGGGAGGGGAGTGCTGTGCTCACTAAGCTGCAAAGCGGCCGGCCGCAAATTAGACGAATTAATTCGCTCGACTACGATAGCATTTGCACTTTACCCGGGCATGGGTAATCACATATATTCCCCTGCCAACCAAACATAGTGTCTGCCACATTGACTATGCATAGTTTGACGATTTGTTGGCGAAATTCGCCGCCACGGACACTTGCCTGCAAGCTGTGTTAAACGACAACGAGAAGCTTTGCGCCAAAGTTACCGAACTTTGCCAGGTGCAAGAGAATACGCGCCAAAAGTCGCCCGCCCTCGAGGATGCCGCCAGCATTGGACGTGTCGGAACGGTACTGGATGAAATCGCACGCGCAGTATTGCAGTAGCACCGTGATATTGAGGTAGAAGCAGCAACGAATGCCGCCGCGCATGCCACAGCAGCTGCAGCAGCTGCGACAATGGCCGCCGCCCACTCCAAAGCAGCAGCATCAGTCTGTGCAGCAGCCGCAGCCACACCAACTATACCAGTGACCAAGATAAAGTCGCCGATGCCGCCCCCTTTTAACCCCATTGACAAAAACACCACCATGACGGGCTGCCTTTTTACGATGGAGCTTTATTTTGATGCTGCTGGGATTATTGTTGATGATTTAAAAATCAAACAGGCTATTTCACTACTAAGGGGACCTACACTGGATTGTCGGCGATCGTCACTAAGTGAGATTGGGACTTCGACAGGAAACACTTAGGGGTTTCTCGGGAGTTCGGAATCAACCGCTTAGAACGCAATGTCAATTTTCGGAGCGACCGAGATTCGCACGTGGATAGCGTGGGATACAGCCCTGTGTAAACGTTTCGAGGCCATATCCGCCTCAGACAACGCTCGCACGAGGCTGGACACTTGGCGCCAGTTGACCTCTGTCCAGGATTATGCGTCATCATTCTAGGCACTCCGCAACCAAATCACCGACCTATCAGAAACTGAGAAAAAGAATCGGTTCATCATTGGGCTCAAATCCGACGTTAGCTACAAAGTGAGGATGCGACGCCCAGCGACGTTCCAAGAAGTCGTGGTGATCGCCGACATGTACGAAGCCAATAAAAAATATGCGAGATCAGGTTATCGGGAGGGAAATCGTTTTCATGGCCAGGATTAACGGCCTTCGATCAACGACATTGTGGCGAATGACGAAGATCGCTGGAAGCGGCAGTGTTTTCACTGCCTCCAGTCGGGTCACCGATATGCTGACTGCCTTGACCGGAAACAGAGGAAAAACACAATGGGGATAAGATGGGAAACGATTCCCATCAGTAGCATACGGGCCCCCTACTGACATGGCTGCATAACTGAAAAACATCATCTCCACCGAGTAGTGGTACCGGTACATGCTATCGACCACTCTCAGACGAATAACGGGGATGAACATGTGGATCACCCTATGTTAGTAGAATGGAAGGTTAACGGCAAAAGAGTAAAAAACTTCATCGATTGTGGCGCGAGCCACACCCTAGTTCACCGACCAACAGCTAAAAGATTAAGCTCACCCTAGGAGCAGTGTCTACCCAAGATCGACGACACCCCGCTGGCGATACGCAATCGCGCGCGAACAGTTCGCATGAACTGTGGTGGAAATTTCGGTTTCAGCACGCCGATACTGGCGATGACACTCGACGGCTGTGATGTGCAGCTGGGTCGAGATTGGTTTGATGACACAACCCGCAGATTTATTGGAAAACAGGCGAGTGCACAGTGAAGTTTGCGACTGGTCGGCAGATACTACCAAGATGGAGAGGAGCAAAGCCTTTAACGACATGCGTCAACGCCATCACATTGATACTCGTGGTCAAGAAATGCACAGACCTGTACGTCATCCATCTAAAGGAATCAACGAGCGACAATCACCCGGCCGACCACCACGTTTATACTCTGCGCAACAGTCCTCGAAGATCTGGCAAACCTGATTCGTCTGTTCCCATATATTTTTCCGGGCGATCTCCCACCTGACCTGGCGCGCAGCCAACTGTTCCGACACATTGGTGGCTGACGCAACCCGAGCTCCAAGAATTATGGGATCAGCTGGACTCTTTGCTGGCCAAGTAGTTCGTTCGATCGAGTATGTTCCCGTTTGCTGTCCCGATCCTGCTCACAACCAAGAAAGATGGGGGCCTCTGAATGTGCATTGATTATCGCGCCCTTAATCAGGTTACGATAAAGTCTTGCCTCCCAATGCCGCGTGAGGACGAACTGATTGACCAGCTGCGAGGCGCTCACTATTTCTCGAAGATCAACCTTCGTAGTGGTTACCACCAGATTCGAGTTTTCGCCAACGATTGCCACAAGACCACGTTTCGTACTCGCTACGGGAGTTGCGAATACACTGTCATGCCATCCGAGTTACAGTAATGAATGGACGATATCCTGATTTACCTTACGACACAGGAGCAGCACTTAAAGGACGTGGAAGCGGTTCTTCAGCGCCTACATGTGAATCGTCTCATCACCAAAGGCTCTAAGTCTGAGTTTTTAAAACCCGAACTGGAGTTTTAGAGGCACATTGTTTTGACAGAAGGCGTAAAGATTGACCCCCGCAAAAATCGGATGATTTAGGAATGAAAGTCACCGACCAACCTCCAGGTGCTGTTATCGTTTTTGGGGTTCGTCAATTATGTGCGACGGTTTATCCCCAACATGGCGGGGTTAACTAGGGCACTAACTGACCTACTTCATCAGTGTGTTGATTATGAGCGGGGGGGAAGCAGCAAGTTGCATTTAACGGATTTAAAAATGTTTTAATCTTGCCATCAGTACTTTGGATTGCTGACCCACAATGACTATTCAAGGTCGTGACTGACGCAAGTGACATTGCAATCGGAGCAGTTCTGCTATAGGATTTTGGTGAAGACCTTCAGCCAATCACGTACGAGTCGAATAAGTTACAATCGGCCTAACGAAGTTGTCCCGTACACGACAAAGAAATGCTAGCAATCGTGCACGCATTCACGATCTGGCGATGCTACCTGACGGGAGCCGACGTGACTGTGCGAATAGCTCACAAATTCCTACAGTACCTGTAAGCGCAGCCGAATCTCAACCCACGGCAGATTCGCAGGTTGGATTATTTGTAGTCGAACTTCATGCATCGAATCACGTACAAGAAGGGTGCCAACAACATTTGTGACGCCCTCTCTAGACCATCTGCCCAAACTGCCGCTGTACTAATCACCCAGACGAACCCGTTGCTGAGTGGACTATTTACCCACAGATATTCGACCGATCCCTTTTTCGTATACAACGGCCACCATAGGTCTCAACCGCGCAGGGAGCCTATCACATAAAAGCAGGAACAGAACGAATTTGGCTTCTGAGTTATTGTCTACTTCGTGAATTACTAATTCAAGAAGTCCAACTTATCGGGACATTTCGGGGTTGACAAGACTCTGAAGGCACTATAGTGATTTTATTACCAGCCACACATGATTTTGGACGTGCAACACGTGACAATGGATTTTGTCACCAGCCTGCCAGCCTGACAAAGTGGAAATGACGCGGTCCTTGCCGTTGTCGACCGCCTCACGAAAATGGCTCATTTCACGCCATGTCGCACGACAATTATAGCCGAAGAAACCGCGCGTCTATTCATCTCGGCCGTCATTCGCCTGCGTGGTATCATCAGCGAGAGGGACCTGAAATTCACCTCGCGCTTCTGGCAAGACACGTGGAATCGATATGACATCCGCATACAGTTCTCATCTGCCTATTTTTCCTGAATCACGGGATGGGTCCGACAGCACCCATTTCCATCAACGTCGAAAGCCAAGTCCCCCGCTCGCAGCATTTCATCAAAGACGTTCAAACCGCCCGCAGGAAAGCCATTGAATTTATCCGAAAAGCCAATACGACGACCTCCACAAACAGGATATTACCTTGACAGTAGGGAAACCAGTTCTCCTTGACACCAAACCTTCGCTTCCATATACCGTAAAAAATTTAATCCCACTACTGTGGACCTTTCAAGATCATCAAGATGATGATGCAGTGACCGGCCAACTCCGCCTGCCCGACGATTGGAATACATAATTCCTTCCACATCAGCCTCATTCGTCCTTTTATTACTGACATGTCAAACGTCATCGAACCGGCGAGCCACCGCATATGAATCAACAGTCAGGAGCAACACGTTGACTTTCTGATACGATGGACGCATCGTACTAGCGAGGACGACACGTGGGTTCCCTTGGTACAAGTACAGTTGCCTACTGTACTCAGGGATTATTTATCCCGCAAGCACGTCAGAAATATAGACCACCTTTGCTAGAGGGGGGGGGTAGTGTAAGGAATTTTCCATTCCTTAGGCGCCATACTGCTAATGTTGGCCCAGCCCGCTACCGACTGGGTTAAAAGGGCATGTATTTTGTGGTGGGTAGCGCACCCATTACCCCCCAGGACGAACCTGTAGCCCTCCCGCACTCAACTAGGACGATCCCAGTGCCCCTCCAACAATCTCCCCCTCACTGGGGTCGTCAGGGCACCCGGCGCCTCCTCTGCGCACACTGGGATTCGAACCCTGGACCTTCCAGGCTCTGATACCACTGTTGGCCCAGCCCGCTACCGACTGGGTTAAAAGGGCATGTATTTTGTGGTGGGTAGCGCACCCATTACCCCCCATGACGAACCTGTAGCCCTCCCGCACTCAACTAGGACGATCCCAGTGCCCCTCCAACAGCTAACGCGTACACTAACCCCACACGGCACCAACATCTGCCCTAGCTTCGGCCCGAACACAGCGCGTAACTCCGAAGCTCTTTGTGTCCTCGGATGCCTCTTTCAAACTTATTCGATCATATGGCTAGGATTGCTTTGGTGTTCCTATATCTTGCTTCATCATTCCATTGTACCATATTATACTATTAATACATCAATGGCCTATGACACAAGTGCTAGAAAGACTGCGTACTTGTACCGTAATCCCCCGCGTATAGGCGCATCAATTTATTTGGCCCACTGGGCTTATGGAGAGCTAGAAAGACAGCGTACTGGAACCTACATTCGATATTTGATTACAAGCCGACCCATAATTTAAAAAATGTATTTCCTTTATTCAGTTTTGTAAAAAAAAAGAAGAAAAAAAGTGGAGTTTTCATATCGAAGTATGTCAATGAATACTTTTACAAAGGGGCTCTGATTTGGTATGAGTGACCCAATTTGATGTCCAAGGGCAGGTGTTGTATTATGGGAGGGTAAAAGGGTGCTAAATGATGTGTTGGGGGGGGAGGGGGGGGAGGGGGGGCGTGGGGAGGTGGAGAGAAGGGGAGGAGGGGGAAGGATGGTCAAAACCACATTGCAAACTATAAGGCATATTTTGCATGGAGCATTTGCATGTCTGGTACCAGCCTAGGCAATGCTGTAGCACCACATTTGCATGCCTTAGACCCCTCCGTGATCGCTCGAATGGTTGGCAACATGTTTGAGAGTACATTGCCTGGGCTGATCAAGCAAATCTCAAACACCCTGACAACCATTCGAGCTACCACAGAGGTTCCAAGGATGAGGCGGAGAGAACAAGCGCAGGAGTTGTGCAAAGTGATTGACACGTTGCTCTAGTTGACGCATGCATGTCCAACCTGTAGGGGGGTGCAGTGTGGTACCTATTCCTCACCTGTGACGATGGCTAGTTGCTACATGTGTGCACACCGCTTAAAAGACGTGTCAAGTTTGCACGCTTCACGCCCTTCACTGCTTCATGTAAAGCAAACCATATAAGGCATATTTAGGTTCTTGTGAAAGCGCCTGCGCTTGCAAAGCAAGCCGTCGGAAACATCGGTAATATTAGCACCACCTATAGCGCAATCAATGCGGTATGATTCGCTTGTTTACTACAATTTGCCAGAAAAATACAATGGCGCCTCCATCTCCAACATGAACTCTAACTCCCTTACCGCCACCATTTTTACATTCTCGAGACATTCCCATACCCATCAAACCAACCACCCAAGCTTGCCTCGGGGAGTTACTGAGTCCATGAAGCCCTTCACGCCCTTGCCACCATCCTTGCTGTACATAACCACAAGAACGTCACACATATACCCTCATTACAAGAACACCATCTTGGTCAATCCAACCATCCAGCCGCATAAAAATTCATAAAGCTCTTCATCCACTTGCATCCATCCTCGACCTAAGCCACCTCTGAGAATGCCCCATGATTATCCCCGTTATAAGGCCTATGGAATCCATGAAGTTCCTCTCCCCTATGCCCCAACCCTTAATAAAAGCCATCTCAAAAAGTGTAGCTGGATATCCTCATTATAAAATCCCTCAGAGCACACACATATCCAGCTATATAGGCCCACAAAATCCGATCATATATAAAATGATCATGCAAGTGATTTATTCAAGCTCGCACCCGATCATATTGTGTTATCTGTTTACCATATACAACTGGATATAAGCGTATTTGTGCTTATAATGGAACCCCTTGCAAAACACCAGCGCTGATAATCGAATAAATTATATAGGCGCATGTGCCTCGAGCAGATTCCTACAGCCTCACGTCAAACCAACATCGCGTTAGACGCGAGGTGCCCTGTACTAGTTGCATGATGTCAAAGAATGCAGCACGCGCATGCGAATCGTTTATGGTGTCGAAAGTACTTTCGCCCAAAAAGCACATTGTGGTCACCAATGAGGGATTTCCACGATGACATACTGAACATTCAAATTGCTTTAGGTTGGAACCACGACGCAATCGCATTGTGCACGCACGGGAAAGCATAAGAACCAACCCGCAGAAAGGAGTGAACTGCGGCGTGAATTCCACTAACCTGGGAAACCATGGCGAACATTTCGTTAAGGGCTAGTAATTCAAGGGTATTCGCCCCAATTACCCTTGCCAGCGGCCAGGGTAATTGGGGCATGAATTCCACTAACATGGGAAGCCACGGCGAACATTTCGCTCAGGGCAAGTGATTCAAGGGTATTCGCCCCAATTACATTAGTATGCCCTGTTTTTGTAAGGATTAAATAGGATTGGTTTTGGGAGCGAATTTGCCCCCTGGCACCCTTTTAAATCAGGGTGAAATCGTCAACCTACCTGATTCCTAAGGGGGAACCAAAACCAATCTCGGGCCCTGATTTCGCCGCATCTGCAGAAGCACAAACAATATTTCGCGCAAATTGCAAGATGATAAATATGCTTGCATTTCGGCGAATTGCGAGGCGCTGGTTTTGGTGAAAATGCATTTGCGAGTAACACGCACGCACGTGGCATCGCTTGCAACTTTCGCGATGCTGGGCACATGCGCCCAAGTCTGATGCGAGGATTGAAAGTCTTAGCAGCGATTGGGCAAAATGATGAGTCTGGCGCAAGTTTAATGTAACATGAGGACGTAGGAATTTGCTC